TTGAACAATTGTAGTATCAGGCTGCAACATAACAAAATTGAAAAAAATGAATACTTTCCGAATGCACTGTAAATCATTATTCCTAAGAAAATAATGAACAGGATATTCAGCAGATAGATTTTCATAACATTTTTCTTCCTCTGTCTTACTGTGAGGCATTAGCAGTTAACTATAGTTCATGTTTTTCAAATATCATGGATCACGGCAAGTAAACATAAAAAAATTTAAACAAGTGAAATCCCTCCCCAACAAGCACAGGTTCAGTGAAGTTAAATCAGTGAGCGTTGATTTCATTTTCTCATACAGTAGATTGGCCACTACAGTACTTGCTTCTTTGTCCCCAAAGTCCAGAGTACAACCCAAGATCTATATCACACCAAGCAAAGCAAGAGTTGGGAATTTGTGGCTGTCCAGGTATTTTCAGGGTGGTAATATGAAAACAGTAAAACCATATAATAGTATAATCAAAGAAAGCATAAAAAACAGTCAACAGACAGGACAATTACATCAATTAAAATGTCTGGGAAAACCCAAAAGTTCCAAAACAGCTTCATCAGCACAACATGTATCTCCAGTAAGTGGTGTGCCTACCTGTTACCAGAGACATAGGAAGCAGACTTATTTATTTTTATGTCTGGAGAGCTACAAATGTTTAAGGAAGTCACCCTATGTGCTAGGCAGCTACTCCCAGAGAGTATCTGCCCAGCCTGCCAGATCAGATAGGGTAGGCACGCTCCAGGTTCCTTCCCTGAAATGTTACCATCTAGTGGGACCTCGGAAGTGTGCCTTTTCCATGGCTGCCCCTACTTTAAGGAACACCCTCTCCCTGGCAATCCAATAGGCCCCCAGCCTTTTAGTGTTCCAGTAGGCCATCAAGACCTGGCTTTTTACACAGGCGCTGGGTAGAGTAAAGTGTGTTTTGGGTTGGATATTGGGGCATCCTAAGGGGATGACTGAGGTGCTGGATTTTGCTTGTGTTTTACACTTTTATGGCGTTTATAGTTTGGGGGTTTTATTGTTATTATGAGCCACACAGAATTGTGATTTAAGATGGGTGGTCGTACAATCTTTTAAAGAAAGAAAAATAAAATGTGGTTCACTTCCTTATTCAGAGCTGCAGTATGCTTATACATTCATGGTCATGTAGTCATGCCCCTTTCACACACGTACAGGTGAGTGGCTACAAATGGCATTGCCCTAGGGAGGTTGTCTTCCAAGATGGGGAAAGTCTGTTGTATTTCTTCCTAGCATATACCTACAGCTCTTTACTGCCATTTAGTGGTCATCCAGATTGTGGCAGTCTAGATATGGTAGCCTTAGAATATTTTCAGGAGTCTTGTCGGAAAATTTTCATTTAATAAGAGTTGTTGATAATAAAAAATAATAGGATATGTTCTTTCTGTTGAAGTGCAGTTGAAAAATGAACTCTTACTTCACTTGTAGGGGAAAAAAAAGCAAGCAACAGTTCAAGCTAGGAGCCAGAAAGGGGGAAAAATGCATGATCTAAGTTCATTTCCTTTCTAAAAATAAATATGGTTTTGTGAATATTATTCCAAAAATTGTATTTTCACTAACGGTCAGCCTGGCTGGGAATTCTCCAAATGCTGCCCCATCACACTGAGAAGGGACCAGTTTGATTTAGGTTATTGTGACATTGTGTGCAAAAGTGAAGTTTTAATACTCATCTTCCGGTAATCACATGAGATGTATAATTCACAAACCAGTATAATTAAATTCTACTTCAAAATAATACAGGCATTGAAACAGTTATTTTAAAATGGGCATGAGAACATGATAATTGACAGAAAGGCATTCCATATGGACCCTAAACATATTACCAGAAATCCACACAAATCCTCATAGGTATGTATGGCGAAATATTTGTCATTTCCAGAGATATTTACAAGATCTTAAGAAAGCTTAGTGAGATTGAGCTAAAACTTATGGGTCTGTCATGGAATGCCTGTATGGAGGTGCAATAGGAAAGGGATCAACTAAACTAAAGAATATTTTTAAATTTAGCATTAAGGACATTTATGGCTCATGAATTAAAGAATTGGAACAGATCAATGGTTGCAGGTCTTTAAAATGTTAAATTTGCTTCTGTGGATTTAAAATTAAAACTGGTTCATCAAAACATCTTATTTTGACTCCACTGGACACCCCAAAGAATGTATTTAGAAGGATTTATGTCTGATTTTCTCTGTTGGTGGTGTAAAACATTTGAAGGGTCGTTGACTCATGATTTGGTCCTGTGAAATCACTAAAATCTTTTTGGAGTAATACTTTAATATAGATAGATAGATTTATGGGGAATTTTTTTAGCATAAAATGTTAATGTTATGTTAAATTACATACTGAAACTTTGGAAGTTGACTTTGGAAGTTGAATTTTTGAAGAGTTATTGTGGAATTTGAAAAACAGTAATATTCCTGATTAAGGATTGGATTTGAGAGAACTGTGATCTCTGTTTTTGAAAAGGCAGTTTTATCCACTAATCAAAAAACAACTCAATGAGTTTTTCTGTGGCATAGATTTTGGTACTTTGTAATGTCCCCTCCCTTTTTTTTTGTCTTCTGTTTTCTTTGTTTTTGTAGTTCTTCATGTATTTTTCCTGTGGGTTTTTTTATATATATATATATTTCTTTCTGTAAAACTTAATAAATTCTTTAATTTTTTAAAAAGTCAGCACAATCCAATTATTAGGCCACAATCCAATAAACACTGACCTCACAGTGGTTGTATTCACATAACACCCTAGTCTTTTAACCTAACTTATGCAAACTCCATCTGTACAGTTCTCACTTATGCTTTAGTGTGTTGTGAAAAGCCAGAAAATTGTGTTGAGTAAACCCTGATTAAGTTAACTATGGGTAGACATGTTATGTGAACATAGCCAGAATAAAAACCCATTGCTGGGTTGTAGGGATTTTCTGAACTTAGTTTTTCATTTGCAAATCCCTTTTCATTCAGTAGAATTCACTTCCAAATAGGCACATACAGCTTCTACTGTATTTATACTTATTTAACAATGCAGAGGCTCAGACTTGTGAATGCAGTCCTGAAACAACTTCCTCATGAGATGACCTACCAATCTTAGTAGCCCAGATGCATTCATAAGGAAGTTTAATTTCCCTGCCTCATAGCTACACTGCTGTAGAGGCCCTTCCTGAAATGCCATTGGGATGGGTTTGCACAAGAATCCTGTCATATTTTACTTATTTGTAAAATGTTTGCAAAGACTCAGCATTGCTGAAGCTCAGGTTCACAGTTTTGATCCACTGACTTGGCAATAGATATTGTACTGCAGTTCATCAACTCCAATTATTAAAGTTGCTGCCTACTTTTTCAATTTTTTGGCCTGCACCATTGTAAGTAATTGAAGACACTGTACATTAACAAAGACAGCATTCAAGAATATCCTTTATGAAAGAGAGTTAAGTGATGCAACTCCAATAGTTCAAGAGATCATTGCAAGGATTTGTTTCCTTATGTTACGAATCAATATATTTATATATTGTTTTTGCAGTATAGCACAGTGCTTAAGAGAGTAAAAAAATATTCTCTAAAATTGTTATCTTAAAGTCTGATTTTTGTACTAATATGATTTTCTCTAACTTGGTGCTGTCAACATCCCAACCAATGTGGAAGTTCATCATAACTGGACTGGACTGCTTTGGGAAAAGCTTGTACTAATTATTTCATTCATTGGGTTATGCAACACACTACATAAGCCGTGGTTAACAAACCACAATAACTGTTCACACAACATGCTAAACTGAAACCAAACAAAACATGTTATGAATTAGGATTGTTTCAGAAGAAATGCTTCAAATCTCACATAAGCACAGTGCATTTCTGCTGGTTGTTAAAAAAAACAAACAAAAAAAAACCTATTCATTAAAGTGGATGCAACCACACTTTTTTTCTCAGAAATCCACACACTTCTGAATAAAATGTTAAGCCCTGTTACTAAGCCCTTTGTTGTATCAAACAGCTGACTGAACAACTCTGTTCTTTCAGGACTAGGCCAATTTATAATTCACATGTAGATAATAGATAAATTAATAATCTAAAGTACCTACAGCAAATCAAAGCATCCCATTATCATCACAGTCTCATTAAATAATAATTGGAAGTATGTTTGTGCCACTTGTTCACTACATACATAAAATTTAAAAGGAATTCTGAATGCTTTAAGTTGCAAAGAGTTCTGCATGCTTATGTGGAAATAAATCCCATTGAAATAAATCCCAGTTGGATTGACAGCTGAATAAACATGAATAGGATTGTGCTATTAATTAGAAGGCTGCAGCAAATAAATTCATTGCTAAATCAGTGCAGAGGTCAAGGCTCTATATGCAATGGATTAGACATACCAAACACAATATAACTTTAAAAAATGAAAATGTAGCAGAAATCACTGCTGCTGCTGAAACAAAACAGTAGTTAGCTGCTGGTAATACAGTGCTCTGTCCTAATGACTAATAGCACTATGACCCACTAAGAAAAAAGAACAACCTGTTAAATCAGAGCCCTTGATTGCTTCTGCTGCTATTGGCTAATAGTGGAAGATCAGATGGTCAAGCTTCTTTTTAAAGGCATGAGTGAGGTTAGGAACACAACTGGTGGCTACATTGAGGCTTTTAGGAAGGTGTTTGGGGTGTGTTAGAAGACTTAGTCCTTCACAATGTGTGATCTGTTTTTGGGAACTTGGAAACTAATTTCAAGTGAAAAATTTGATGACTACATGAAGGAGCTGGGTAAGAATTATTTGTGGGACTTAGTAAAAGGTTTATTTTTGCTGTAGAATGTGGTGGTTATGTAGAATGTTTTGTTAGGTATGTATCAGTGGACTTGTTTACTTGTAAACTTAACAGCCCTTGTGGAAAGCATAGCTCCTCTATTTTGTTTATTGTTAATAGTAATGTGGGGGGAAAGAAACTGTTGCTTAGATCATGTTAGTTATGCTAGACTTCCAGAGCAATTCCCATGATAAGTCTGGTAAGTAAAATCCACTTAGTTTGCATTTTATCTGGCTTCCAGATAATTTCTGAATGTGTGAACTCAGTGGAACTTGTTAATAACAAATGTAGTACGAATTGTCTGTTAAATATGTTATCCTGGAATTGTTTGTTATTAAATACCTGATTATTAAAAGAGCATGTAATGGGTATTTAGACTTTTGTGTGGCATTTCTATCAAGGTTAGGTATCACAGGAGTGTGAAGAAGGGCTCTTGCTATTTGTTTAGTTGAATGGTTATTGGCTTAAGTAATATCTGATTATATGTATTATATTAAGTGATATCTGATATTTTGTCCTTGGAGCTGTGAAAAATGTTGAGAAAGATACCCCAAACCATTGGAAACTCTGATCTAATGCTGCCTTATATGAAATCTTTTTTTTTTTTTCTCTCTTCCCATATATGAGTAAAATTTTGTGATGTTTGGTTATGGTATTCGTTGAGGGTGAGCTTTGAACTAGAGGCAATTCTCTCATCAAGGCATGCCTGCTTTAGGTTAATGATACTTCAGGATTGGCCTGAAGTTATGCATTGTTCATCCATCACAACTTTTAAGTAGGATGCTGGCCCCTTATTTAACTGTGATGAAACTAATGCATAAAAATAACCTTTCCTTCTTCCAATATTAATACAGATATTAGATATGTTAAGGAACATGAGAATAAGGATATCTCTAAATCTGCTAGATACCCTTTCCCTAGCACCTCTCAAGTTCAAGGAGGCCCATAATTTTAGGCTGGAATATTTGTTTTGTCTACAGGGGCTTATACTTCATGTTCTGGCTAACAGGACCTCTAGCAGTAAGTGATATGGAAGACTTCTGAGACTGCTGTTAAATTGGAATCGATAATATTGGCAGTGAAGAGGTTGTATTCTATATCTCTTTACTCCCCTCTAAGGATTGTCTGGATTTCTGTAGCACTAAGTCAGCAGGTTACACTTAAATGAATCATGGCTATGTGAGAAGCAGGTCACTTTCTCCCTAGGTTATCAGGTAGCTTCCCAAGTTCCTCTTCTCCCATGGCTGCTGCTATTAAATAACCTTGGTGACAATCTTCCAATTAAAGCTTTGTAGAGATCAGCTGTTATAAAGTATATTTCTTCAAATGAAATGCAGATCTGGATTACATCAAATTATGTAGAATAAGGAATTTAGTTTATATAATATTTATAGCAGGGAATTGTTTGCTTCCTCCAAGCTTTTAAAAAGAAATTTCAGTGAAGATGGACATAAAAACAAAAATAACACTAGTAAATAAGCAACAATCAAGTAAAGTACTTGTTTAAAAAGAAATGTTACTTTCTGGAAGAACATAGAAAAAGCTGATCCCACTCCTTGGAACTGAGAACCCCATCTACACAGTGCCATCACTGAGAAAGCCCTATAATATGTTATTGCTAGTCATACCTCACAATCATGCTATGCTTGAAGCAAGCATCAGTTGAATTTCTTGAAGGTGAACTATATAATTTGTTGTCACAAGACAGTGATGGCAACTGCTGTAATTCAGTTGGCTCTATATTACTTTAAGCATCAGAAAGAAGGCTTCTCCTGAATGCCAGTTGTGGGAGAGAGTTAACAGCCTGACTTCTGATTTGAATGCTTCTCACTAGTACATGGTTGGCCAGTGTGGGAAACAGGATGCTGTATAGGACCAACCAGATTCTGACACCTTCACTTCCCATAGTTTTTTGGGAAATTTATCTTCATCTGTGACAGTCCTGGGGCAAATACTGCCCTGGATAAGAAGGGCTTTTAGTATCTCCTCATTGGTTTATAATTTGGTTTGCTTAAATATTTATAATGTTTATGGGTTTTAGAGTAATTGTAATAATTGGTGACATTGCCTTAAAGGAAAGCCATCTTCTGCTGATTGCATTTGATCTAGCTAACAATCAGTCTGGATATTGATGAAAACATATTAAAGCTAATTGATGGAAGCTACTTTGTATTTAGCATACAAAATATACCATATACTTGGGGGAGGGGGCAGGGATTGGATTAGACAGTTGCTGCATCATTTTCAGCCTAGCTTATGGCAGACATTAGAGTCACTGAACTCAATTTACTGCCCAGTTCAACTTGGTCCCCAGAGCAACTACCTAGCTTGCACACCATGCTTTAAAGCCTACCTCAGTTCCAGCTGTATTTTTGCACAGTGAAGCTCTAATCAGAGGAAACCCCATCAAGATAGAAAGGACTGTAGGAAAGGAACCATTGTGTTTAAACTTTTTCTTATCTTATTCTATAGTTATTTGGCATAACCCAGCTTGAATCAAGTCTCCTTCATAACTAGAATTCTTTTCTTTATCTTCAACGTCAAGAAATTTGTAATAAATTCATGGTTTTTTGGTTTGATTTGTAGGTGTGGGCTTTGCCACTAGGAAATTAGCTGTGGTTGCCAAGCCCAATGTAATTATCAGCATCAATGGGAGTGTTATAACCATCAGGACAGAGAGCAACTTTAAGAACACTGAGTTTTCCTTCACAATGGGAGAAGAATTTGATGAGATCACAGCAGATGACAGAAAAGTAAAGGTGAGTTCTCTACTTTGCCTTAAGCTATTTTGGTTGACGAATACATTTGGACTCTTAAAAACATGCTATGAACCCTCTTGGAAAAAGGGTACAGTGGTACCTCGGGATACGAACGCCTCTACTAACGAACATTTCGGGTTACAACCAGCTTCGGCAGGGCAAATTTACCTCGGGTTACGACCAACTCGGGATACGTCCAGAGTCACGGAACGGATTAAGTTCGTATCCCGAGGTACCACTGTATTTGGGAACTTCCTCATTTATAAAATGATGACCATGTGGGACATCACAGAATACCAGCTTAGCATGTTGGCTGGGAATTCTGGGAATAGCCCACGTTTGGAAACAATGGCCTTTAGCTCTCTCCTCCTGCAAGATGTTCCTATTTTGCTCTTTTCTGTGCAGGTGGATGCACATCCAAATCAAGCAGTGGGATGCAGCCACATGTTCTTGTTAATTAAGTCCATTTGGAGACAAAAGCATTGTTGAAAGAAAAACATTAGAGACAGATATGTTTAGTAGCATGCCTGCTAAATTAATGGCTTTAGATATAAAATTGGGTGGAGCATGAAACTTGATGGGTGCCAACAGCAGTGTTCATAAATACTTTGATGCCTCTGAGATCATATTTTAAAGTGTTTGAGGGGAACCTGTATACCTCAAATACATCTGATCAGATTGAGAGAGACTTCTCTCGTGTCAGCCCTACAAGGCAGACCAGATCAGGAAACTAATTCACAGAAATCTAGAATATACTTTGAGATAAGTTATAGCAACAAAATCTGCTTGTGTTTTACTTTCTTCCCTCTGGTACTCCATTAAGACAAAGGAGCCAGCCTCTTCCTGATACTATTCCCTTTCCTAGAGCTTAAGAAATGCTTCTGTAACAGCTTCTGAATCTTCCCTTCAAACCGTCTACATGGCTGTCTACCTGAATGAATAGATATTAGGTGTTCCAGGAAACATTTAGGATATTGTTTCTGGCTGTTATTATTTTCTAGCAAGTTGCAGAGCTTTCACGATGCTAGTAATCTCATTATAGAAGAATACTGATTGTCTTACTGAGATGCACATTGAACATTATTTGAGAACTCTGGTGTTTTTCCTAAATTCATGCTACAACTAGTGTATATTTCAAACCCAAGATTTGCCTGCCTTTCTTCACTAGGTGGAAATACTGACCAGATAATTTTTCTTGACAGAGTGTTGTGACACTAGATAATGGCTCACTCAATCAGGTGCAGAAATGGGATGGCAAAGAGACAATAATAAAAAGAAAAATAGAGGATGGAAAAATGATTGTGGTAAGTTTATTTTTGGTTATAAGCATTTGGGATGAATTTCAGAAATAGGAATTGCAAGCTTCTGAGTGAATTTTTTTCAAAGGGGAAGAATATTTTTCATACCCAGTAGAAGAAAGATGTGCCATATTTTGGGTGGTGATTCAATAATTCATTTAGGTTAATAGGCAATTGAATGCAGAAGGTCAGTACTAAGCTATTTTGAAAAGTATAATAGTATATCTTGCATTGTTTTTTTAAAGCAAATCTCATTTTGAGAGCGTTAGTAGAGAATGTACTACAACCATTCTTTGATTCTCAATTTGTTTGGAACAAGCATCCCTTTTCAATGTAGGGTGATTTCAAAATGAAGCAGGTTTTATATTTTATGACTCAGTGACACCCCATAGTATTGAGTTCACTGGAAATGAATGGCCTTCACTGTGACTAAATGGTGTTTCTCACATTTATAATTTTCTGACCTATAATTTTTACAAGAGCAGAGCAGTTGATCAGATTGAAAAGTGATATGGAGGGTAGTGGAGAGTAGTTGGAAATCATACAGTAAACATGCAGGGAACATGCAGAGAAACCACTCTTTTTGACATTTAGAACATTTTCCAAACTACACGTTTTCCAAACTACATCAGTGTTTCTCAACCTTGGCAAGATGTATGAATTTCAACTCCCAGAATTCCCCAGCCAGCATGCTGGCTGGGGAATTCTGGGAGTTTAAGTCCACACATCTTA